GATCTGCTGCCGTTCTATGAGCTGAGTGAACCATTGTTCGGAAGGAGAGTCTGTTGACTGCTGCGTCCGATCTGCTGCCATAATACGAGCGGAGAGATCCTGTGAACTGTTCTTTGGAAGGAGAGTCTGTTGACTGCTGCGTCCGATCTGCTGCCATAATACGAGCTGAGAGATCCTGTGAACTGTTCTTTGGAAGGAGAGTCTGTTGACTGCTTCGTCTGATCTGCTACCGTTCTACGAGCTGAGAGATCCTGTGAACCGTTCTTCGGAAGAAGAGTCTGTTGACTGCTGTGTCCGACCTGCTGCCGTTCTACGAGCTGAGAGATCCTGTGAACCATTGCTCTGAAAGAGAGTCTGCTGACTGCTGCATGCCATCTGCTGCCATTCTACGAGCTGAGAGATCCTGTGAACCGTTGTTCGGAAGGAGAGTCTGCTGACTGCTGCGTCCGATCTGCTGCCGTTCTACGATCTGAGAGGTCTTGTGAACCATTGCTCTGAAGAAGAGTCTGCTGACTGCTGCGTCCGATCTGCTACTGTTTGAGGAACTGAGAAAGCTTGCTAACCCTGTAATCGGGAGGAGGATTTGCTTGCTATTGTTACCCACCTGTTGTCTTGCGGTGGACGGGAAAGATCTAGTCCTCCGAGGTGACGTTCCGCCTCCGCCATCCTGCAAGGAAAGGGAGTGCACAGCTGAAACCAAAACCCATTCTCTGCTGCTTATCATCTGCGGTCATCCGTCACAGACCCTCTTGACCTCCTTCTGGCCAGAGTTCCCCTTGTCGGAGGCCCATACGAGACATCCTGGAGTGAAGTAAAGGAACCCGGAGTTATTCCGATGCTGTTTTAAATGCTATTAATTAATGAATAGAAATGAGGATATTTTATATTACCTGTTGTCTCGTCTGATTGGTGTCTTTGGTGTCGGCTGCTCCGGAGTGTGGTGACCCTCGGCCATGGGAAACAGTTACACTTCTAGCAAACGTCACATTCTTCACCACATAAGTTGAAGCAATATTTATTTGACAAGGCATCTAACATTAGTCCATTTGTTAAAATGTTTAAATTTTTAAAACTGACGTATGATTATTTTGCACGCTTGTATTTCAGAGTGTGTGAAGTGAAACAAATCTCCTCATTACTATTCATGACCCTTCCAAATAATGTACAAACAGACCATTTCATTCTGGGCCAATTTCTAGAGATGTCAAACCATTTTAACATTTTAAATGCATTTAAATAAACCACATCTATGTACTGTAGATACCAGAGACTAAATTAAAATATTTCAACAGATTCTAGGGCACCTTTAAAGAGACAATATGTATTTTTTTGCCGCTAGGGGTCGCTAACCTCTTCATAGGTTGAATGATGAAGCAAAATTCCAGTTGAATTATGGAATTTGCAGTCAAGCTTATGGATCTAATAATGCTTATGGATGAGTGAATACACTGATGTTTTTAACATGATTGTGGTATGAAGCAGGGCGCGATTGCTAATGAAAGACAGATATCAGCGTCATACGCAGGTCCTGAGGATACAAAGGAATAACTAAAGGACATTTAATTCTATTGAACTACCCGGATGTGTTGAATTACTACACACACAGGACAGTTTATTTGACGAATGAAGCTTGTGAGATAATGCAGCTCTGTTTCACTTGTTCTACACTAACGTTATCACACTATACTTCATTTGATTGTGGTGAAAGTTAATGTTATTCTATGTGTTTGTTGGCTGTATGAGACTAGCAGTAAGCTCGATCAACATTAGAAGAACATAAAGATCATATTATATTTCATCATGTTACAGTATATAACATTGACTAGTTTTATGTAACATTACATTTGCATACCTGTCTAATAAAGTATATGCAAGTCGAATTTAGTCGCGGACGTGGAGCTCTCAGCATCTCGAAAATGTCACGCTGATATTGATCCTTTTTTTGTAATTTCTCCTTTTTTCCCCCAAAGTCTGCTTCCCATGGTCCATAAAGTTTGAACGAAACAACAATAGCGTTAGCGTACAGCTAGAAGCAGCGCTGTTGTCCACATCTGTCGCCATGGTTACTTTGCTCATACTGCACAAGCAGAAACCAGGGATAACGCGGATATTACGTCAGTGACAAATCTACATCTACATACAAGGGCCTGACTTCATCCATGCAACATTTCAACAAGTGAATCAAAACAGAAGCAGCAAGTCTCCGCCCTCCATTTTTTTCTTTTTCGATAAGCTGCTACACTCTGCTAGCGACAGATCTTTTCTTTTGCATTTTGACATTCATCATTTAATATCGACTTTAAATAAGGGAATTAACCAAGAAATTAAATATTTTATTTTTTTGTTAATGTTGTAAACATTGTCCCAAAATGCTGTACAAACTGAAAACACAAAATGTGAACAAAATAAATAAATGCACTTTTTTTTTTAAGAACTTGGGCACTCTGAGTTCCACCCCACGGTTCTAAAATATCAATAATAATAATAATAATAATAATGATGAAAAACACATATAACCGTGCTTGGTTACATTAAAATGGAAAGGGGGAGCATTGACAGTACAGGAGATCCATTTGCATTTTTGCAAGGGTAATGCTGAGAGAGAATTTACAATTGTCAAACAGGTTTCATTTCATTATTTAACATCATAATGGTAATAAAGCAGGAAGGAATGCAAACAAACAAGACCTTTATCACCTGCAGCAATTGGTATTTTACAATAAAAATATAAAAACAGAGAAAGGAAACTCAGAACATAAATATTGACCTGCTGATCTCTACTATTAATCTATCCTTTGCCCTACAAAATCTCAGGAATGAGAGCAGCAGATGTAGAGTCATTGTAGTAGTGTCATTGGTGTAAAGAGTACATTGTAAATAAAGATCAAAAACATCTGCACACTCCACTGACACAGTCGCTCAACCAGCTCTCACAGATTCATTCAGAGCACAGCAGGCAAGTTTGTGTTCAGTTCTCTTTCGTTCCCTCTCAGTTTTCTTTTTCACAGTTTCCATTCTACACTAATACCAACTTCTCCCTAAAATAAGACATATTGACCCTGCTGTTGCCTACAAGATGACAGGGTTTAGTTTAGCCTGATCCGGTTAAGCTGATAAAACAATTGAACAGAACAGAAACCGAAAGACATTAACATTCGATCAGAAGCTGAGCAGGTTGCTTTTGTTTGAGGATTAAATCTGTAAAACTATTGTGTTTGAGAAGACAACATAGTTATGCTAAGTAAAGAAAACAGCGGAGTTCACTGTGAAACCAAAATAACCAGAGCAGAAAACTATTGAGCTTTGCTGGGGGCGTTTAAATTGCAAATGGGGACTGGATCTGCTGAGTGAGGGAGGGGTGGGGGAGATTAGAAATTTCATAGACTTCCTCCTGTAATGTTAATTACCTCTCTCCTGTACTCGAGGTAATCTTTAATCAGATGAGCACCATGGACTCCAAGGGGGTATATGAGTGCCCTGCAGCCGCCTCTGATAAAATTCACACACGCACAGGTTTGTTTTTCCACCATAGTGGGGAAGTTCCATAGACTTCTATTGGTTTTTTTTTTGTTTGTTTGTTTTGTTTTTTACTGAGCTAAAGATATTTTGATTCCCTATCCACTTCTCATGAATCTAGTCCTTTACTTTTAAACCATTTTCAAGAAATAAAAAAAATCAATAATGACCAAAAAAATGTCACATGGTACAGTATATAACCACTAGTACAACTTTTTCCTTATGTCTTAAAAATGTCATTATACACACAATAGTTTTTAAATATATTTTCAAGAATGTTTCTTTACAAATGTTGAGAAACATTCATTCATAAATAATCACTAAAACGTTGTTTCGATATTTCCATCCACCAATTTGGTGGCTCCAATGATTTCAGCAACTTGCATTTTTATTACAGATATTTTGTGCCAATTTTCCCAGGAAATTACCATTTTGTTCACTTGAACACATGGGATTTTGAACTTTGCAAGTTTCTTCTTTTCTTTTAATAAATCTTTTTTTCTTCTTTACAACATCATGAAAGCTGTACCACACTAACTTTTGCCCCAAAAATATCAAAATAACTTTAACTCAGAAAGTTAAAAAGCTCATAAAATTATCAAAGTCTTTGTATTAATGTTATATATATATATATATATATATATATATATATATATATATATATATATATATATTATAATTTTTAAAGTTTTTGGAAGAAGTCTCAATTTATTTGATCAAAGTACAGTAAAAACAATAACATTGTGAAATGTGATATTGTGATCTTTTTAAATGTAATTTATTGCTATGAGGGCTAAGCTGAATTTCCAGTCTCCAGAGTCATATGATCCTTCAGAAATCATTCTATTATGCTGATATGCTCAATACATTTTTATTATTATCACTGTTGAAAACAGAAGTTCTGCTGATTTTTAAAAACCATGATACATTTTTATAGGATTCTTTATTGGATGGAAAGTTCAAAAGAACATCATTTGTTTTAAAAAAAAAAATCTATTCTAACTTTTTAAATGTCTTTATAGTCACTTTTGATAAATGTAATGTGTCCTTGCTGAATAAAAGCATTCATTTCTTTCACAAAAGAAAAACCTTACTGACCCCAAACTTATGAAGGATAGTTTAAACCTCTCTCACACACACACACACAAACACACGATCTGGCAAGAAGGATTCTACAGACCGAGCAGGTTAGCGCATTTTGTATTTTGTAGAATGTGGTTGTTTAATCTGGGGCAAAGTGAAGTTCATTGAGAGAGTAGGATAAGGAGGCAAAGAGGGAGAAAGTAAAAGTAGGACTGGTAGTATGAAAGATGAAAAAGATGGAGCGATGGTATTGTGTGGGAAACCAGCAAAGGAAAGTAAAGTCAGGTAGAGGAGGGAAGGAGAGGAAGAATGAAGATAAGCACAGAAGAAAAGAATGCACACAGAACGGAGACGAGGGGAGGGAAGAGGGAGGGGCAAAGAACATGGCAAGGTTACACATGAACTGCAGTCTGTTTTCTTCTTTAACACAGACACAGAAGGAGAGAAGTAGAGGAAGGAAGCTTCGGTGGTTTTGCGCTTATCTCTGCAATATCACATTAAACCATAAATTAAAAACAGGACGGAAGAACTGCATGCTAAAGGAGTGAGTACATTCATGACACAGAGAGCCAGGAAAGAGGGACACTGAAAGAACAATAAAATAAACACGGCGGATACACATTGGCAGAGTTTACAGGACCAGCTCTGACATTAAGTGAGAGAGGAAGAGGGGTGCAACATTGCTTTACGGAAACCGCTTGACAGTTTCATATATACGCTGACAGTCTAACAGACGCTTGAGAGAAACAGAAAGAGAAAGAGAGATAAAAGGATAAAACAAGCCTAATTTCAACCAAACCATGTTGATAAAAGAATACCGGATATGCATGCCGCTCACTGTCGATGAGGTAAGTTTGTAACTTTTAACATGTGTTTGGGTTTGCTTACATATGTTTGTGTGTACTGCAGCTGTCCACATGATTAGTGTGCATGAAAGTAAACATTATCAAGATGTTTATCCCACTCTGTTTATGCAGATGAAACCTGAATCTAGCTCTGTGCATGTCTGTGGGCTGCATTTCATAATCTCCCTCTTCCAGCCGTTTTCTTTACCTAAACGGGTCTGACCAGTTACGTATTTCCATGCTAACTTATTCACCTCAAGGCTCGAAACAAAACACAAAGGCCTTTCCAATAAACAGCTTGGGTTTCTATACAGATGGGTCAGGGACTGTTTGGTCTATCTTTCACATCAAGTAGCCCAACTTGTGCTCTTCAGATCAGACAAGCCCAAACAAGCACACCTGACCTAAAAGTCTTCCTTAGAATTCGTCTATGGACTACATCAGCACTAGACCCGACCGCATAGTTTCCAGACAGGAGCACTGCCCCCTTTTTCTGGAGAAGCTCTGTTGCGCGCACAGACAGCGTTTTTATGCTCCAAGATTTACAAGGTCTCCTTCGTCATCATGAGTGACAATGATTGTCGGAATGAGTATTCACATTGACAGCAGGAATATTGTCAGTGCTGCCAACATGTTTTTTTTTTCAGGAGAATGTGTGGAAAAAATTATCCTGAGACAATTTGTGCTCTTGGAATATAAACCTTTAGGCAAAAAAAACCCCAACATATTTCCATGACAGATCAAGCACTATGACAATGACAATAGCTATGTTTCCACCCACCTAATCTTGCAGCAACTTGCATTTTTATCACAGATATGTTGCACCAACTTCCCAGGAAGTTACCATTTTGTTCACTTGTAAAATTGGAATGTTAAAACGTTTGCGAAAAAAGCAATATTTCCATCCCATGTGTTCAACTAACATTCACCATTCCAATTTTACGCAAAAGTTAAACTCACAACTTTGGATGGAAACGTCGCTAGTGACTGTTTAGTAATTTTTTTAATTTTTTTTTTAAAAACAAGCTTTAAATTTTTTTTTACATTTCTCCAAATAAATTAGCCATAAAGCATCATAATAGTATATCATTCAGAACATATATTATATTACAATAATAAATCACTGTTTGATTGCAAAATGGCACCAACAGAAATGTAATAGATTAGGAAATTTAAAACTATACTATTTAATTTATAGTTGATTTAACAAATCAAATTTCACTTCATAGATCATTATATAGAACAAGCCATCATCAAAAAAATGTAAACTCATTAATAGTATTTCTTTGTTAATAACATTTTTCAAAATAAATGTGCCATAAATTCTAATGTTATCATAAAAGCAAATACCACAAAATGTATTCCAAAAAATGTATTATATTAATAATTAATGTCTGATTGGAAAATGGCACTGAAATGTAATACATTTACTTTAAATATTTAATTTATAGATGTTTCATTATTTTTAGCCAAACAAATAACATTGACATTTGGCACAACACACACAGTTTCCAAGAATGCCCTAATTTAAGTAACAAAATAAAAATAAAGTAAAATAAATAAGGAAATATTGACAAAAATGTGAATTGACTATTATTATTATTATTATTATTATGCAATTTATTGTTATTGTAATAATTCCTATTTCTGAAAAAAATGTGATGCACTTTTTTTTTATTTCTGCATAGCAAAATTTAAATCTTGATTGAGATGTTCATTTGGCATTACTGAATCAATCAAAGCACGTATATCAGAATATAAGTTGGCAGAATTAGTCCAAAAAAGTATGTAAACAATTTACGTTGTTGCAAAATAAATCTCTATTTGAATTATGTGACAAGAAAATACCAAAATATATTTGAAATACATGTATTTTATGGTAAATATACAGGGTATACAAATACCCTGCAGTTGTAACTTTGGTAAGCTATACTAAATCAATATACTTAAAGTCTGCTAACTTGGAACAACTAATTTTGTATTTTAGTTATCTGAAAGTAGTGTTGAGGTCCAACTACAGATATAATTTAGTATATTTGATTATGCTAAAATGTAACTATTTCAAGTAAACTCTAGGTACACTAAACATCTTGCGTTTAAATTATACAGTGGTCACACTATCCTTACTAGTGATATTAAAACACATTTTAGGCAATAAATATGGATTGTGCAAAAACATGCAGTCAAAAAAAGGTTAATTATAATATTTATATCAGTAAGTCTCAAGTGATATGTCAGCAAATATGTTAATAGATGTATTATACTTGAAATTTTTCACTAGAGGAATTCAACTTCCTGTCATTCCAATTTAAATTCCAATTCACCATCCATGGGGAACGTAGCCAATTCAATTCACATTCCAAATTGTGAGCTGAAAGTGAGCCATTTCTAAAATCCTGGATTTTGCTCAACCTAAAACAAGGCCAACAAAAAAAAAAAGCGAGAAATGAAACATGAGGTCACAAACAGGGGTCAGCCATTTATCTCTCTCTCTTCCTTAGTACAAGATCGGGCAGTTATACATGATCAGCAAGCACAGCAGAGAGCAGAGCGGAGGAGGTGAAGGGGTGGAGGTCGTCCGTAATGAACCTTGCACAGACCACAAACATGGAGCCGGTCAGATCACAGAGAAACGCATCTACCTCAACAGGTGAGAGCGTGCACACTGCACACACACACGCATAAGCCATCCTGTTTTGTTCACGGTTTACATCACACACCTGCCAACGTGCAAGCGATCAGCTATTATTGATGACTGCAGCTAACACCATTATACACGCAGCAGAGCTCCGGCCATCTCTCACTTTGCCTCCAAAAAAACCCCTTTCTCTCCCTTTCGAGCTTCAAGCTAAAATAGCAACATAACCGTCCTAAGGAAGATCACATATCATCCCACGGTGTGAACAAAACATGCATACACACTTATTGTAATTGCCTGTTTTCTTATATTCTTTACACTATCGCCTTACAAGGACAGAACACCCCCCACACACACACACTCAGTCATTAGATGCTGTTGTGAATATGAATTACTGCACCTCTAGCAGTAAAGCAAATTTTTCAAGCCATTAATGTGTTAGCAAAGACCAAAAGGGCAGAGCATTAAGTTCCTAATGGTCAAATAAATCTTATCGTGGAGCATGTGAGTCTAATTCAAATGCTGATATTACCGCAGACGAGATCATTATGCTGTTTACAAGTATATCATGCTGAACCGCTGCATTGTAATTATGAATTATTTAACTTGTATCGTCAAGATACGAGCGTCAAAGGAATGAAATGTAATGCCAGTTGTTTGGTGAGAATGTGCTGTACGGCGCGACGCGCTGTGGAAATGTCTGTCACTTCAGAAATGGGGAAAGAGAGAGTGCGAGAACACGCGGCCACATCCGTGGCGCTCGACACAACTGGCTGACCGTGAATGATCTACATCTTCTCTTCTCCGCCCCTCTCTTCTCATCCTCTGTCCATTCATCCATCACTCAAGTCCTCAGGCTGTAAATCTCAAGCGCTGTCTGTGCTGCCTTATCTTACAGTGCTGAGTTCATTATCTCTCTCTGGGTTTTTTGTGAGGGACAGATGGCACCAGACACCTCTGGAAGTGAGACTTATAGCTATTGTGGCGGCTGCCTGACCTCTCCCCCCCTGCACATTCACATTGACTAACAGTGGCCCCAAAAAGAAAGTATCTGGACACTTAAGACAAACTTTAAATTATTTTCATTAAACAAGACACAAAATATCAAAAAAAGGGGCAACTGGAAGCCATTTTAGACAATGTACATTGCCGTTTAAAAATCTGGGGTCGGTAAGAATAAAAATACAGTAAAAACACTAATATTCGAAAAATTTGAAATACCTTTTCTATTTTAATATATTTTAAAATGTCATTTATTACTGTGATGGCCCATTTTTGAGTGGAAGGAGAAACATACTGTATTCGTGAATGTAACTTTAAATGCAGAATCCAGAAGAGGACGGCTTTTAGAAATTGTGCCTACGATACTCTGACAAAAAAAATAAAACATCCGTTTTGTTTTGATTATAATCTCCAATGTGTTTTGAACCCATATCAGTCTACACTTCTGATATATGATTTTCTAAGTGCATAGATCTGAAGCACACGCACAGAAAGCTGGCTGTCTGACGGCGCACCCCGTGAGTATTATTACAGTAAAACTTCAAATAATAGACGAGTCTCTATTACACGCCTGGTGTGGCTGCAGGTTTAGGTAAATAAAAGCCGGTCTCAAATAGAGGCCGGGTCTGTTTTTCAGATGGTCCGCTTTGTTTATATGATATACAGTAAAAACAAAAATCAATTGACACAATAGTAAAAAGGTAGGAGGGCCGTAGCTTCACATGCTACGATTTTTAGAGATTATACACTTAATGAACAACATCTCAACACTAAATTATAAAGGCCCGTCTCAAATACAAGCCGATGCAGCTCGACGATTTGGCCAAATAAAAGCCCTGGCTATTATTTGAAGTTTTACGATAAACCGTTCTCTATTGCGTTTAAACTGTTAAATGCACACAAGGTTATGTCACATAAACATAGTCGGATGTCTGTGAACGTAAACAGCCAGTAAAGAAATCACGTATACATTAGATATGCGAATTAAAGTGAAAACAGCGTAATATACAGTACCTACTGCTATAAATGCTGTTAATATGTATCAAACAACAAAATAAAATAAAAAAACAGAAAATCACTGCATTTAAAGGAATAGTTCACCCAAAAACGAAAATTACATATAGTCATTTAGCACGCGCTTTTATCCAACTAAACCAAGCGAGTCATCGTGAAGATGTAAAAACAACGCAAGAAGTGCTCAAAATACAAAGTTCAGACATTGCTCGGAGTATCAAAAGTCAGAAAAGCGAGGATTTAAAGGAAAAGGAACAAATTATTTATTTTTTTTAATTATGTTAAGTACTCACGGAAGAGATGAGTTTTCAGTTGTCTTCTGAATGCTGTCAGGGATTCTGCATTCCGGATGATGATGGGCAGATCATTCCACCAGCGTGGAACCGTGAATGAGAATGTTCTGGCGAGTGATTTTGAGGCTCTCTGTTATGGTACCACGAGCCGTCGCTCATTGACTGATCGTAGGCTTCTGCTAGGGATGTAGACTTGTAGTAATGAGTGGGAGTAGGAGGGAGCTGATCCTGTGGTTAATCTGTAAGCAAGTGTCAACGCCTTGAACTTGATGCGAGCAGCGAGTGGCAGCCAGTGCAGAGAGATGAACAGAGGAGTGACATGGGCCCTCTTGGGCTCGTTGAAGACAAGCCGAGCAGCAGCATTTTGGATCATTTGTAGAGGTTTAGTTGCACATGATGAAAGTCCAGCCAGAAGAGCATTGCAGAAATGACCAGGGCCTGGACGAGAAGTTGTGTTGCATGCTCAGTTAGGAAGGGGTTGATCTTCCTGATGTTGTATATAGCAAAGCTGCATGATCTTTGTAATGTGGTCTGTGAAGGTCAGATGATCGTCAAAGATTACTCCCAAGATTTCTGACTGACCTTGATGGGGCGATTGAGGAAGAATCTAGCTGGATAGTAAAGTCGTGCTCTAGAGACTATGATTCACTCACCCTCAAGTCATATTATGACATTCTTCTTTCAGACGGATACAATCGGGAGTTTTATTTAAAAAATGTCCTGGCTCTTACAAGCTTGTTAATGGCAGTGAGACTTATTTTAAAACTTTATTGACTAAAATAACTAGCTTCTGGCAGACGGCCAACGCAAGTCGACAATATTAATTTTTAACATTTAACACATTATTCAAACCAAATGTCGTATTTGTACTGCACTGTGAAGTATCAAGAACAAACAGCTGTATTTTTATTAACTAAAGTAATCAATAATTAAGGTTAGTTCATGTTTTAATACAAAAAAATAAAAAATAAAAATCAACCTTATTGTACTGTAAAGTTTTGCCACATTTCTTATAATCACAGTTAAAAAAAGTTGTGCTACGTGATGTTTTTTTTTTTTTTAACAGTATTCTTTTAACGGCATTTATTTGAAACGTAAATCTTTTAGGATACTAGAAATGTCTTTACTGCAATTTTGATCTATTTAAGGCATCCTTGCTGAATAAAAGCATTCAAATCTTACTGACTCCAAACTTCATGCTGGAGTTAAGCCGAGGGTTGTATAATGTGTCAGTTGCGTCATAACATCTTTTCGTTTCCCTTTTTGTCTGTTCAGCAAACTGCCAACCTGGATGAGAAAGTTTGTTCCCATGGCTTTTTATATAACAGAAACTGCCTGGAACTTCTACCCTTACACCATAACAGGTCAGTCCAAGTATTTTGTTACAATAAATACAACAGTGTTTGAATAGTAATGTGCTGCCGTCGCATGGCACATACATCCATCTTGTGTTTTTAAATGCACCATAACCAGCCGTAACCTAACACTATTTCTCTTCTGCATACTTTTCTCCTTCTACCCATTGGTGTTTTACCATAGAGTACTCGGTAAGTATTCTCACATGTCAGCTCAAAATCATGCAGTTTGCTCTTGGCTCACTGACCCACTGAGCAAACAAGATAATCACTCTACCTCTCTCATTTACTCCTTCCAAAAGTGTTCCTTCCTACCGAGGTTCCATGTCAGGATCGAGACGCACTTTGAGAATGACAACGGTTGCAGTGAAAATGTGAGTGAGAGATGGCAACACACATGCATACGCGCACACACACGCGTTCTTACAGGAGATAATCCTCTTAAAGGAGGCCGATTCATCAGAGGCTCACGTAGCTGCCGCGTCCTTGTAAAGGCCATTGTGCTCGTGTCCGTCTGTGAAGCACTCAGTAGTAAAAGTCAGGTAAGCAGATCCAAACAGTCCACCTCACTGACACCGGACACCAGTGCCTTAAAAGCAGGGCCTCATAAACTGGTTTCGGTCAGATTATAGCAATAGGGCTCTTGCACATATATCAACAGCGCTGTCGACGCACCTTTAGTTAAGGGACTGCAATCTTTTTTTTTTACTATTATTATTGTATTTATTTAATAGGCACACTAACAGTACACTACCATTCAAAAGTATGGGGTTAGTAAGATTTTTATTTTATTTTATTTTTTTAAAGAAACTGATACTTTTATTCAGAAAGGATGCATTAAAACGTTCAAAACTGACAGTAAGGACATTTTTATTTTTGTTTACAATGTTCGTCTAAATGCTGTTATTTTAAACTTTCTATTCAAAGTATATAATATAAGCAGCATAATTGTTTTCAACACTGATATTCTTTTGTGCCAACTCAGCATTATTTCTGAAGGATCTTGTGACTCTGAAGACTGGAGTAATGGCTGCTGACAATTCAGCTTTGCCATGACAGCCATGATTTTAAATTGTAATAACATGTCAATTTTAAATGCAATCTTTGATGAGCATTTTAAAATAAACTTCTTTTAACAACATTTTTGAAAAAATAATGCTAATGGAAGATATTAAAGATTTATAAATATATATATATATATATATATATATATATAGTTTTGGATGATATTGCCTATTTTATTGTTTAATCTGTCAACTGTTTAATAATAATTTGTGTGATGCCTAAATGAATGTAGCATATAAATTATTATTATTTTATTTTACTTATTTAAAAAAAAGCAAAACAATTAAAAATCATTTCATTTTTATTTAAAATTATCATTTATTTTTCTTACAATTATTATCATATTATATATATATTAAATTATTATCATCTGATCAGTATTGGCCAGGAATTTTTAAATTGTGCATTCGTATTTATCGGTTTAAATAACGTCTCACTTACTGGCTTCTTAATGGGACGATATAATGCAAGGAGAAAATTACAGTTCTCAGGAGATACAATCTCATGAGTCGCTTTGAGGTTTTTAATGCATCAATTGCACTAAAAACTGCTTACTGTGGACAGTTAAAATTTTCGGTTTCAAAACTTCTTTTCTACTAGCCCTCAAGTCACACCTAATAAAGTGAACAAACAGACAATAGCTGTCAACAAACAATTAATTTAGGTGTGTTGTCATTCAGACTTTTTACTTTGTAGTTATTTAGATGAGATGAGGTATTATTACTGGTTTGTCGTGTGTTTGTTTGCATACAGCGAATGAGTGAGAAAGATAGAGAGAGATAGAGATAGAGAGAGGGGCCGTTGTGCCCCGGAGTGCTCTCTGTTATTAAGAAACGAAAAATAAGAATTAAACAAGATCCAACCTGCCACAAAGAAACTCAGAGATTTATGAGTATCTGCCTGTGAGAAAGAAAGAGCGCGGGAGATGGCGGGGAAAGCTTTGTTACTGATACTTTATAAATGATATAATTTCCTCCAACTCATCCAACTTTCTCTCCACATACCAGCAGTCACACTCCCTCATTCACATACACATGACTTAAAGGGATAGTTTACCCCCAAAAAAATGTATTCTGTCATTTTCTCACCCTTAAAGGGATACTCCACCGTTTTTTCGTATTAAACTATGTTATTCCCTTAACTAAGACCAGTTGATAGATACCTCTCTCGTCTCAGTGCATGCACTCAATCTTTCTGGCGCGCGAGACACTTTGATAGCACTTATCTAGATCAGTTCGTTCAATATGGGCTAAGCAGAGAAGCGACCAAACACCTCCACGTTTTCCCTATTTAAAGGTCCCCTATTATGCCCCTTTTCACAAGATGTAAAATAAGTCTCTGATGTCCCCATAATGTGTATGTTAAGTTTATGTTTAAGTTTTCGGGGCTCAGAAAAACGCGCTGTTTTAGTGTGTGCCCTTTAAATGCAAATAAGCTGCTGCTGCCAGCACAGGAGGGCGGAGCTTCATGAGCTCGCGCTCAGTCTCTCAGGACAATTTCATCTCACGGAATGATGACCATATCAGAAACTCTCAGTAATAGTGTTCATTTCAAGTCAGACAATAATGCCTACAGAGTCAGAGTGCTGTATAGAGATGGAACGGGTATAATTTAGTAGTTTAATAACGTTTAATAAAATATCTCGCTTGGCATTGAACTTTGAGCTTTATAATTTTACAGACATTATTTTTTCTCCAACAACAACATTATACACTAACTAAAGTTTGAAACATGGGATCACCAAGAACAGGAACTTTAAAAACAGTTACTCGAGCAGTGTAACTCGACCTAGGACGGTGACACAAAATAAAACGTTGCGCTTTTCTAAGCCTGTAAAGTGGATACTATATTGTATGGTGGAATACCACAGCAAGTGCTTGGGAGCACTTCGACTCGGTGCATATGCATCTATGGACTTGGTGCAGTAATATCATCACTCCGGAGAGGGAGAGGGAGGAGAGGACTTTTCACGAGTGATGATATTACTGTGCCGAGTCGAAGTGCTCCCAAGCACTTCCTGTGGTATTCCGCCATACAATATAGTTATCCAATTTACACGCTTAGAAAAGCGCAACGTTGTATTTTGTGTCACCGTCCTAGGTCGAGTTAGACTGCTTGAGTAACTGTATTTAAATAGGGGAAACGTGGAGGTGTTTGGTTGCTTCTCTGCTTGGCCAATATTGAATGAACTGGGCTAGTTAGGTGCTATCAAAGTGTCTCGCGCGCCAGACCAATTGAGTGCACGCACTGAGAAGACGGGTATGCATCAACTCGTCTTAGTTAAAGGGATACTCCACTTTTTTTGGAAATATGCTCATTTTACAACTCCCCCAGAGTTAAACTGTTGAGTTTTACCCTTTTTGAATCCATTCAGCCGATCTCCGGTTCTGACCATTAGCATTTCTCCCAAAAAAAATTACCAAAGTGTTTTGATATTTTTCCTATTTAAAACTTGACTCTTCTATAGTTACATCGTGCACTAAGACAGACGGAAAATGTAAGAGTCAAGTTTTAAATAGGAAAAATATCGAAACACTTTGGTAATTTTTTTGGGAGAAATGCTAATGGTCTTGTTCACTTCAATAATGTATGCTAAGCTATGCTAAAAGTGGTACCGCCAGAACCGTAGATCGGCTGAATGGATTCAAAAAAGGTAAACTCAACAGTTTAACTCTGGGGGAGTTGTAAAATGAGCGCATTTCCAAAAAAAGTGGAGTATCCCTTTAAGGGAATAACAGTTTAATATGGTGTAGTATCCCTTTAAGTTGTTCCAAACCTTAAAGGGTTAGTTCACCCAAAAATGAAAATTCTGTCAGTATTTACTCACCCTCATGTTGTTCCAACCCCGTAAGACCTTCGTTCATCTTCGGGACACAAATTAAGATATTTAAGATATTAAGATCGCTCCTGCATACTAGTCCATAGGCTTCTTGAGGGACTGGCTCTTGCTGTCCCCGAAAAGTCATTAAAGACATCGTTAAAATAGTCCAAGTGACTACAGGGGCTCAATCTTAAGTTTATCAAACGACGAGAACACTTTTGTGCGCAAAAAAAACAACAAAAATAACGACTTTATTTCAACTATTCACTTCCTTCTCTATGCGCCTCTAGTCAGTCAACGTAGTGTGATAGCGTAGAGCTACGTCACACGTAGGCTCACTATTGGCCGACGCTGGTCATGTGTGTGTGATGCGTGTGACGTACAATAACAGAAGCTTACGCTATTAAACTAGTAACCTGACTCACGCAGAGGGAGAAATAAACGAATAGTTGAAATAAAGTCGTTATTTTTGTTGTTTTTTTGCGCACAAAAGTGTTCTCGTCGTTTGATAAACTTAAGATTGAGCCCCTGTAGTCACTTGGACTATTTTAACGATGTCTTTAATGACTTTTCGTGGACAGCAAGAGCCAGTCCCTCAAGAAGCCTATGGACTGTATGCAGGAGCGATCTTAATATCTTAAATATCTTAATTTGTGTTCCGAAGATGAAAGAAGGTCTTACGGGGTTGTAACAACATGGGGGTGAGTAAATACTGACAGAATTTTCATTTTTGGGTGAACTAACCCTTTAACCTCCAAATGAACACCAACATATAGTTTTTTCTTACAAGCACAAGTTTCACAACTCAAGCACAGTCAAACATATCAAAATAATACTGGCGCAAGTGTCAACACATCAGACAAGAGGAACAGCAAACAGCTTTCTCATGAGGAGACAGAGATAAAAAGACAGAGAGAGAGGAGAGAACCGTAGAGGGAAAAGTGCAGTGGTCTGTTAAAACACCTGCATTGTTTTTAACCCATAAACAACTTTAAAAAAACGAAAAAGGTTTTGAAGCAGAAAGCCCACAAAAGAAAGATCAGAACAATACATATTTCCTTAATTGCTTATTTTTCCTTCATTGTCTTCTCTTAGATTCTTGCAAAAAGCAGTCAAGGCAGCACTCCTTTAAGTGAAGACTTGTTATCTGGTTTACTCCTCCACTGGCCTGCAGTAGTGTGCATAATTCAGTACTTCTGCCTATAGTAGGCTTGATTTTGCACTCTTTGTTTCCATGTTTTTTGCATTAATTCAGTCTCTGCCGACGCCCTACGGCCTTTCTGTTATATAGTGTGTCAAGGTTCTGTAATGGGCTACAGAATGTTTAACCGGTTGCATTGCAACGTGTGGTATTTTATATCAAGATTGCTCTGAGCAATGCTGAGCACTGAAACATCTTCCCTTTGTCTTCAAACAGATGCAGACATTGGTGCACTTCTATTCTTCTATGTTTAGACAACTTTAAGTTACACTGTTATATCGTACTTGGGCATTGCTGGAATAAGAAAGCAGTGTGTTCTTTAATATATTGTTGGATTTGTCTGATGTCTCCTGTGCAGGTGTTTGGTGATGACCCAACTCCAAAGGACACGATCTGCTTTTTGGATATTTTGAACGATCCAATCCCTGAAAAGCATTACAAGTCGTCGGAGGTACGTATACATTATATATGCACAAATACATGGCAAAACTAAATCAGGGGTGGGTAAAAATTAAGATTTTATGAGTGGGCTCATTTTCAATTCATGAGTTGGAATGTGAATTGAATTGGACACACGTCTTTGAATGCTAAAATTGGGATTTGATTTGAACTGGGAACGTCAGGAAGAGAAATGTATAGACCAGCAGTCTAGACTACACAAGAGGAAATCTAATAATCGAACAAGTTTCGTCAAAACATAAATAAATCATTAATTTTGACTAATTATGCCTATTTATCTCTTGATATCTAGGCTGAAAAAAATTCTCAGCTCATTAGACTAAACTGAGTGCCATCAAGTTTGCACAAACATCAAAACATAACTTGACATAAGTGTTTTTTTATGCAAAAGTCCCCCCAAATATAATTATCCCATTGAGAGAGACCCCTTCCTAAAATATAATGTCATTTATTTTGCATATAAAGAGCAATTTATACTTTTTAAAGAAAAATATTAAATGTGACTTTATAAAGACAAGACAGAATCAAACAGAAAAAAAAAAAAAAAAAAAATCGAATGGATTTGTTTCGTTTTGTTTGAAAGTCCCAAATTGTTTAGCAGATATCTTTATAAAAACAACTATTTAAATCCATTTAATATATTGAGAAAATCTGAAAACTCTGAAATGAAATGTTCATCCACCGTGACATAATAATTAACGATTAATGTCCATATATGTGGCATTTCAAATATTGATTGTTGATATGTTAGGTGTATGATAACAGGGTAATTCATACCAAACAATGTTATTTTTAAAAGCAACACTTACAGCAGATTGCTTGTTCTTATGAATCATCTGTATCTGTAACTCTGACACAGAAATAAATAACCATCCAGTCTACTGTGTTCTCTATAGGTCTTTGCACCCTTATATAGCAGTGCAAAATGTCTTCAAAGCTAGTATTTAAATGACACAACAGAGACTAGCACAGCTCTACATAAGTATGTGTGCACTCCACACAAGTGCAGAAACAAAAACCTCAAGACAAACATTACATAAAAACCACATTCGTCAGTGTGCTCTATTTAGAGACAGTTTATCGGAATATTAACCGTGCTGTGTTTTTAGTGGACAAACAATACATCAGAGGAAAGCATGTTTGCATGTTCTCTCAGAGTCAGTCATGCGCAACCTCAAATCCATAGCTGTCATGCCAAGTTAGGAATAAGACAAATCCAAGGATTACCACTAAAAACAACAGACAAATCTATTATATTAGTTCTACAGACAAGGGACTAAAACTTAAAAATACAGATGGGTGAATCAATAATTCAAATATTATTATGTTAAATTGTATTATATGACGTAGTAGTACTAATTATGGTTAATAAATGAACAAACAGAGCCTGATAATCTACAGTTTATTTCATAATCATTGTTAATGATGGTTTTCAAATACAATGTTACATGAATTTAATTTCCAATTTATCCTCAGAAATCACAGAAAGTTTTCCATTTAATGGAGGTTATAGTGGCTATAAAACTTTTTTTTACAACTAAAAGTTAAAGGGTAATTCCACCGGAGGAGACACGAATCATATATGTAGTAGAACAGTATCGTAAATATCTAATTTGTGTCCTTCTGGGCCGATAAAAGGCAGAAAATGACTTTTTAGTGCTTGTGGAATGTAGACAACAATCCCCATAGTGCATTGCAATGCTCATCTTCGCACTACTCCGGCACTCCCACTACTCCACCCATCAATGTAGAAGACTAGAGTTGAGTTCCACTCTACGCTACCGCCGGGAAATCATTTCACATGATGAAATCAGATAATGCGCGCTAATGACGACGTAAGAGCATCAAGGCGGCGGCCACGCCATCAGCCAAATTTTATATGGGCTTCAGACAAGAAGCACACTTACTCTGACGCGTAATTTTACACGTTAAATGCAGCCAAACCTTGGAGCGTTTTGTCTTCGGCATCTTCATTAATCCCCTCTGTATCAGACGTTCCAGGCATCTCCTGCATATTGATAACGGTTCCCCGATGCCTGCAATGCAAATTAGTTAAAATCTCCCAGAATCTAGAGAGAGTGAGCAAGAGCGTGCATGCGAGACAGATCAGACAGATCAGTGCTCCAAACCGTATAGTGCGCGCACGGCGGAGAGGGAGAGAGCGAGAGACTTTGCGTGCACTGTAAAAAACAATCGTGTAAAAAAACGGTAAACTACTGGCAGCTGTGGTTGCCAGCATCATACTGTAAAAACATGGTGCGTTACAGTTTTTAAAATAAACAACTAAACACCATTTTGTTAGCTACAGTATTATGCTGTTAAATTACAGTATACTGTATAACTGTAAATTAACAGCATTTAGCTGTAGCTGACAAACGGTATTTAGCTGTTAATTTTAAAAACGGTAACGCACCATATTTTTTCAGTATGATGCTGGCAACCACAGCTGCCAGTAGTTTACTGTTTTTTTTTTTTACAGGATTATTTTTTTAAAGTTTGTGCGTGCCTCATGACAGAGAAATTTTTTTTCTTAATCGGTCTGGTTATTACCGTTTATGTCGGAATTCCCTATTGGCACCGCGTTTTAGTACCCTATCCATAATGCATCCGTCTGCGTATTCATCCATATTTTCAAAAAGTTTCTGCAGGCGAAATCAAACACACTGGCACTGATCTGTGATAGGTCTGTTAGCGCATTAGGTCCAACCCCCATGGGCGGGTTTGAAAGGGTGAGATCTAGTGTTTACAGAACACCCCCCCCCACACACACACACACACACTTCCTCCTACAATGACATAAAATGCCAATTTTTGCGTCATTGTAGGAGGAAGTGAAAAAGGTAAATAGCGCATTTCTCTTGTCTCAGAGTGTTGCATGACCATTAAACAGTATGACTGGGTTTCTAACAATGGAAATCTTAATGCAAATGGTTAGTGTCCCTTTAAGTAAATTGTTTGGTAATTGTTGTGTTATGACAGTAACAGAGTTGAGTGGTTGAGCTTGATGAATGCAATCAACACTACAATATGTGGAAACAATGTGAAAAGAGAATAAGATGAATTTACTTGTCATGCTTTAAAAGTGTCCAAAAGTGTTACTTTTTGAGTGTGACACTTTCAACTGGAGAATATAATCCATATACAACAAAACAACAAATGTGGGACACAGCTTAATATAACATTTTTGCTCATCAAAACTTCTTTTATGACAATTAACTGAGCATTATTTCAACAGATTATGTAAAAATGATAAAGATTTCTATTGTTAGACAACAGACAAGCCAAAAATCGCTCATATTACGCAGGGCTGAACCCAAAATGTTGTAGCACTAACTACTTTTCATGCCATGTTAATTTTATGTTAGACAATCATTTAGCCTATCAAACATATATAATAGGTCACACAACAAAAAAGCATGGAATTTGTGCCTCGAACGCTTTAAAAATGGGACACCACATGACCAACTGTAAAAAATAATGTCACTCCTGCACAGTGATTCATGCACAGCATGCAACACACACACACACACAAGAAGAAGTAATAATCTGCTTACTCAGCAGGTAATGTGTATCTACTTAAAACCAACAGGATCTGAGACACTGGGTGTCAAAGCAAACAGGCCGGGGACCCCTAGTGGATGACTGGAGGAACTCCACGACACCCATCATGTGCTCCTACAAAAGAGTCACCTGTAGCTTTGAGGTCTACGGTTTCCAGGGAAGAACAGAGGAATTCATTCACAAGGTACTGACCGTTGTGTCCCAAGCATCACAGCATCCTCTTATTCATGTAATCCCATCATGCGTCATATTGCGGCATGTTATGATTCATCACAGAACATTCGTGACATTCTGTTGGTGGGACACAGACAGGCGGTGGCATGGATTGACGAGTGGCATGGTAAATGAGACGTGTTGTCATGCTTCATTACCGTAATTCATCACATGCTCTGTTCATTACCATAATTTATTACATGCTCTGTTAAGTACACAGGAGAATCCTGATCCCTCACTTGGCACTCATGTCATCTGTCTTAATTCTTTCGCAAATACCGCAAACGTATAACAAATATTTGTGTACTATGCAGGAATGACGATCGAGCAGGTGAGAGAGTACGAGAAAAAACAGCAGGAGGAAACAAACTGCCAACTCAAGAGCGACATTACCTCGCCAGGTAGAGAAAAAGCAAGACAAATGCTGAAATTATAATATCAGAATAAGACTTCATCAATATTAAAATAAGAATCAATCAATATCACAAATTTGCTTAATGATTAGTGACCTAGAAATGGTTCCAAACCATACATAAAAAAAAAAAAAATCATAACATTTCCAGATTTAGAGTTTGAAGAGTTTTATAGAGAATCAAATAGAATCATTGTCTATTTGTCTATACCATCTCTGTCATCCCTCACTGCCCTCTAAAGGTGAATGTTTTACACTGCATCACAGCTGTTACAGTTTAGTCGGCACAGTGATGCAACTTCACAATTAATATGGAAGTCATCATGATGACTCATCTAACAAAACTGTTGCAACATGACCTGTTAAATCAGAAGCATTTGTGGGAAAAACTGATTCTGTTGTCTGCTTTTCAGACTCTGCTCCTCCAAAGCGACCCAGCTACACTCGCTCCATCTCTGTTACGGATGAATCGTCACTGAAAAAGATGGGGGTAAAGACTGAAGACATGCCAGACTCTTCATCCAGCCCTTCCTCCATCAAAAGTCCCTTGAGATTAAACTCTACCCCGGAATAATACCCACAAGAACCACACCAGTACCACTTCTTTAAACATTCGCCAAAATTCTCTCAACTTGGACTTTCTCTTCTAACCAAAACTGATAGAAAGACATTCCACATTGTCACGCTCTGCTTTCCATTCCTTGTATGCTTGTGTTCATGCAGAGGTCGACATTAACAAAACATCTTACTAAAGATTTGAGATACTATGTAAAAGACTCTGGCTCTCAATGGAGTGAAATGCCTTAATTCACTTTTCTCATGGACAAGCCAACATCACCAAAATGGATTCAACAAACACTGTGTTCCACTGCCAAAAGAACAAGGAGACAACAGACCCACCTGTGCACAGGATGGATATGAAAAGCCTCTATTGACATAATGATGAAATCAGTCGACCGGTTCAGTAAAACCCATTGGATTCTGGTGATTGTGAGCAACTAGACGAAATTTCTAGTGGGTTACGGCTTATTGAGACTAACCTTTGACCCTATGTCAATACATTGAAGCAACGCAATTGATTGTTTAGTCGCGCAGCACATTGTAAGAACTTTATCAATAGTACTTTTGGTGAGAAGATTGAAGACTACAATGGACTGAACATTATCCGTTACTTGACACTTATCACACCGTTCATCATTCATGCCACTGGTGATATTCTGTGTTTGTCTCTGGTTATTCATAATTAAAGGGGACCTATTATGCAAATGGTGTTTGAACATAAATATGTATAGGAAGTGTGTGTGTAGGCCAAACACCCTATAATGGTAAAAATCCATCCCCTCCCTTATTAACAGCATTTATAGCAGTAGGTACTGTATATTACGCTGTTTTCACTGTAATACACGGATCTAATATACACATGATTTCTTTACTGGCTGTTTACGTTCATTTTATGTGACATAACCTTGTGACAAATGCTGATAAACCTTGAGAGTTTAGGCACAATAGAGACTTTAATTTAATACTCACACGGTGCACCATTTGACAGCCAGCTTTCTGTGTGTGTGCTTCGGATGTGTGCACTTAAAAAAATATCAGAAGTTTAGAACGATATGGGTTTAAAACACATGCACATCACATTGATGTGACCGCGATTAAGATGATAATCAAAAACATATGTTGTAGTTTTTGGCAGAATAGGCCTATTCGATGCTCTCGTCCTCCCACTGAGAGCAGGGCGGGGAGCAGCAGCTCATTTGCATTTAAAGATGCATGAAAACAGCTTGTTTTTCCTTCCGCTCAAAAATGCATTTACAACATGGAATAAATAATATGTGGGGTATTTTGAGCTGAAACTTCACAGACACATTCTGGGGACACCTTAGACTTATATTACATCTTGTAAGAAGGGGCATAATAGTTTCTGCCATTGGTTGAACAAACAAGTAGCCCCACCCTAAACTCAAATCATTGGTAAATCCAAGTATGTCAAGCAGCTCAAATTAATGGATGAATGTTGAAAGGGTCACATCATCACATTTCTTTAAATAATACAATTACTAAAGGAAGCATGATACATCTATGCCACACTAGTTACTGGCCAAGATTAGAGTTTTTTTTGTTTGTTTTTTTACTTATCAGTATCTAAAGATATTGGATCTCATTAATTTGATCTATTTTCCATTCAGGTCATCTCTGCCATCATCTAATAGGCTACTCACTTAAACTTCTTTAAAAACTTTAAAAACAAACAATTTTAGTAAACTAACTTAGCAAATTGCAAATCTGTAACTTTGGCAAAAGTATCTTATCCTGACCAAGGCAGCATTTATTTGATCTAAAATATAGTAAAAACAGAAATATTTTGAAGTACAATTTTATACATCGGATTTATTGTATTTAAAAATATAAAGCAATGGCAAAGCAGTCATTACTCCTTCAGGAAACATTTCTTATTATCAAAATTAAAAACAGTTCTTACATTTTTCTCTGGAAACAGTGAACCATTTTTTAGGGACCACCGATGCATAGAAAAGGGCTGTCAAACGATTAACCACAATTAATTGTATCCAAAATAAACGTTTGTGTTTACATAATATATCTGTGTAGTGTGTATAATTATTTTATATATATATAAATACACACACATGCTTGAATATATTTAAGAAATATTTTCATGTATATACTGTATATAGATTTATATAATATATAAATATTATATACATAAATTATATTTTTTCTTAAATATACATGCATGTGTATATATATATATATATATATATATATACAAAATAATTATACACACTACACCCACATATCTTATGTAAACAAACTTTTATTTTGGATGTGATTAATCGCGATTAATTTTTTGACAGCCCTAATAGAAAGTAAATAGAAAGAAATTCTACTTGCTAATAATTCCTCACTTCTTGATGAGAGGCATGTTATAAGCTTTAAGCGTTCTAGAAACTGCATTTTTTCTGTTATCGGTACATTCACTTTTTCTCATCACATTTAATTGCAAAGATCCTTGCTGCTGCTTCTTCCTGTGGCAATTGCTGTATTCATTCATAACTAGCATTTTATTTACTTCTTTTTATCTCTCTGACGAAAAGATGTGGAAGGCAAAGATTGAATCCATGGTTCCTGAAGTTCCCTAGTAGTGCTCAAAGAACTCCAGGCTGTTCTGTTACAGCTCTGCCTCTCTCTTTCTTTCAATTTCTCAGTATCCGCATTCTCTCTCATCCTTTCCTTGCTGCCCCTCCTTCACATCCCAATTTATATCGCTCTCAAGAGAGCATTTCGGATGTATAAATTTCATTAGAAGAAAGCTTCTAAGGCAGTACCACTGCAGGCAGATTAAAATACCAGTTCAGAATAGAATAAACAGACCAATGAAATAAAATGCTTTAAATCGTAGGACCTAGACAATATCCATGTCAGTTTAGCACTACTAATATTGTGAGTCCATTTGTATGGACCTCTTTTTTTTATTATATTTGGGGGTTTTCCATCATTTAAAAACCAGACAGCCTCCAATCCTCATCCATTTTCTTTCATTATATCAAACAGATACTATTTTAAATATTCACCAGAAATTCACCTTTTTTTGTCACAAAGTAAAAGTATCTACACCATATCTACACTGAATGTCATTATATCTGACAGCCATATTATCTCGAAGTGATAAACCGCATTGAAATACAGAACATCCATCTGCACTGTGTTTCACGACCATTAAATGTCAACAGATAATTCATATTTAACATTAGACTTACCTGACAAAGATAACATCACTCATTTTCTCAACAGAACTCACAGCAATGTAACTGCAAACTGGATCTCACAGAGCAGAGCTGCTTAAAAGACAGACTGACCCAAGCTCTGTGAACTAACCCAGACACTGATGCATTTATTGTCTATCTCTAATCATTATTATCATGAAAACGTATAGGTGGTTTAAAAAGATCTCAAGGGTAATTTATGAGCAGTAATTATATTGCTGGAGCCACCCCTATCTGACACACACGGGCACAAGCTAATGTAGAGTGTTACACATGCATGCACATACTCCCCCAAGAGGGTGGGAATGTTTGGGAGGCATTCATTGAAATTTAGTCCCTAAACATAGCAATCAGCACAACCATAAAGGACCCAAATTTAATTGGCCCACCCAGCCCATTAATTACATAGCCAGAACTGCACTACAACACAGCATATGCTGCCTAATAAAGCCCAATGGATCTTAATAGAGATGTATTATTGATTCACAAAGGTAGAATTACACTTTGTTTTCCATATAAGCAGAGAACCTAAAAGCACACATTGCGATAATTATATACTCTCTCTTTCACACACACACAGATATGCACTTGAGTGTATGTCATTTCTTATCTATCCTTTCTCTTACCTCATTCCTTTTCACACTTAGCCTATTTTAATTTCCTTTTTATTTGACACAGACAGAGGGTGGATGGACGGATGGATACACGCGCACACTAGGCCGCACAATAGATATTTACTCAAAAAAATTTAATATTTAACAAAGTGTCATTGCACACTTGAGGACTATAAATAGTCTAAACAAATAAATGATGCAATCGCTACATCGTCAAAGCTTTAAACCCCCAATAGCTACTTCTCATTTAATCTTGTGAAGAAAGAGCTGCAATTCAATACTACACCAGTTTGTTTGCATGATGCCTAGGAATGCTGTCGAAGCTTTCTCATAAACTCCATAAGGACGTATCTGGGTGATTTCTTGTAGCACTTTGGAGGTCTGACATCTATAATCAATATCAACTATTCATAAATAAATAATTAAAAGAGCTGGAAGCATTAGCCGTATTAGAACTTCCGCCAAAACGCAAACGCTGAATTAGACATGCCCACTTTTCTCTTGGGATTCTCCCAAGACCCCACCCTTAAAATACCTGCGACATCATTGACATTGATTAAAAACGATTAAACCCGCTCTGGGCCACGGAAACTCTCATCTGGTTGTTGAAATAGTCTATAAAAAAATCAACTGGTTGAATTAGTCTATAGTTCATTAACTCAGTTATATCATTAATTACAACAACAACGGTTAAAAATCCCATTTTCCAAATGAAGCACGTATATATGTGTAACCCCTCCACCCGGGTCCCACTCGAGCGGGCCTTGAACCCAGGTCTCCGGCGTGAGAGTCGGGCGCTCTAACAAGGAGGCTAAAGACTGCAGCCTCTAGGATCTGTCGCTAGAGCGCCTATTGAGATCAGGGAAGTGAGGTTTTTGCACAGCAACTACTAGTTGGCCTCCGTTACACTCACCCCCTTAAACCTCACTCTCATCCGGGTCACGGCACCAATGTGACTGTGTGTGTTTGTGCGGATGTGGAGAGCAGGTGGATGGTCACTCAAGAATAGTCTTTACTGAGCCTGAAACAGACTGAGACAAACAACCAACAACTGGTTAGTGGGCAGTGCATTCACGCATCTTAATGTTGCTCACAGATCAGCAGGAGCGATGTGAAACTCTGCTTGTACATTTTATAAAGTGATCGTATAGTGGAATTAAACTAAAAATAAGACATACATTAAAGAAATAAAGTACATCTCACTGGCTCTGTTCTCATTTCTCATCAATTTACAATTGCAGAAAGACAATAAATTTAAGCAACCATAATTTTCATATTTTTGGTATAAAATGAAAAACAGAAAGAAAAGAACAGCCACCTAAAATGGCGCCGTCACTCAGTTCAGCACGTGCGAGCACATAGCACATGTGAGCACACAACACGTGTGCTAATGCTAACAATTAATTCAGCTAATGAATTTATACACAGAACATGAAAAATTCGCATATAAAAAAATACCTGAGACAAACAACCAACAACTGGTTAGTGGGGGCAGTGCATTCATGCATCTTAATGTCGCTCACAGATCTTAAATGGAATCAACAGAGAATCGGAGTTCACAAGTATTAACAAACACACAGTCATCACATTTCACCATCGCAAATAACATATTTGACTCAACTGACAGAGCTAGAGGCGGACAGATACATGAAATAAACTTGTGTGCAGTATTAAAGTCCATCTTTGCACTTTAAAACATTAAACTATGTTTTTAATGACGCAGCACTTTTTGAGGCGACTTACCAGCATGAGAGAAGCGAAACTCTGCTGCTTGCTGGTAACGTAACTCCGCCCACAATATCACGCACACAAATGCGAGTGACGCAACAACCAATTGCAAGTTTGCCCATTAAAAGCATGAATTTATAAACATTATTTTAAACTCCGTTACATATATATATATATATACTTTACTTAACAGTGAGCAAACTCAGTTGCAAATTTTAATGCATCGCTGTTTATTCATAATCCTGAAACACCTCCCATAGGATACAGATGGCCGGCCCTGAAGCGCTTTTCCAATATACAGATTTTTGATAAGTCAAGGCCCTCATGGCAAAAAAAAAAAAACAAAAAAAAAAACAGAAAGGCTGACCTTCAGTATGGAAGTGGAGGAGATGGTCAACTGTGCGCTCATGAATATTTATTAGCCAGGAGGGGTGAAACCTCCCTGTGGGCTTAATGCTGTAGCTCATGTCAAAAGTTTTATTACTTTAAAACTAAAAAATACTAGCAACATAAACCAGAGACATCGAAATATAGAGAACATGGGAATAGGGAGAAAGAGAAAAGACAAAGAGATGGATGAAGTGGCAGAGTTGTATCGGTGATGTAGTGTGATAGGGCTCTTGACCCTAATCTCAGATTCTCTTGTTTAATTGAGGTTGTAATTAATATCTCTCTCTCTCTCTCTCTCTCTCTCTCTCTCTCTCTCTCTCTCTCTCTCTCTCTCTCTCTCTCTCTCTCTCTCTCTCTCTCTCTCCTGCCGTGCAGATTGTTATCTACATCCTGAAAGAGCTTATAATCACTAACTCAAGAGGCACATCTCCTGAGACTCAGAGAGCCCTCTCGCTTTCTCTCCTCCCCTCTCTACTCTAAAGAATCTTTTATACCTCTTCTCTTGACTCTATCCCTCCTTTCCTCTCGTCTGACCTACAAATTCCTAACCCGTCTCCGCTGCACTTTGTTGCATTCAAACACCATCATTTCAGAGCTTAAAAAAAGCATAATCATATTAAACATGACTTCGCGTTACAGAGCGTTAAGTCCTTGACTGTGGATCAGAACATTTCAATTGAAACAGAATACAACAACTCCATCAGAATAAACAGCCTCGTGCGGAATGGAACTGATCGGCTGGCAGAAGGAGAGATTCAAAGCTGAATTGACCTTGTATGCTTGGCCGAGTTGACA